AGGCCAGCTTTTGAGAAGATGGAGCGCATTCAAGACTCATCTTATTATTTTGATTTACCTTTTGTTGTCTATAACTCTACTGCAAACGCTTGTATTAAAATTATATATTTAATGCAACGGATGATGTTGTTTGCTTGTTTACTGTTATACTGTGTTGTGATGCTTTACGTGATGTCCTCTGCCCCAGAATGTTTCCGCCGTTCTTGGTTTTAGGGTGTGACACGTATACAATACAAAAGAATACATTTCTACAAAAACTGGTTTTGATTATCACATTACATAAATCTGTTAATGAATAAATTTGTGAGATATTCGTTTCACGTTACTTCCAAGTAGTGCAACAATAGTCCTTTAATTATAACCAAAATCTCTCGTAGGGAGAACGTGATAGTTGTGTATAGATCTATATTGGGTTTGACAAACCCACACCTTAGTTGCATGTAACAGCTAGATCGGTAGGTCTGGGGTGACAAATGCCATTAACATTCTGACGCCTGAAGAATGTTGTATATAAGGCTAATTAAGTCATAATATGGTTATAATAACTCACATGGGGTATTAACAAACATAAGATTTATGAGATTTTTATTTAAACTAACAAGTTTATGCCGATTTAAACTTGCATGATTCAAATTTTAAATGGAAAAATACTAGCATACTATTAGTCTTGGCATTTTAGACTACGATACATTTTAGAGAGAAAATATGGGATTTTTTTTGGAACAAACACTACTTTTACAAGAAAGGATTTCAAAGTTTCATTCTAAAAGGTTATGAACTCATCAACTTAATTGTTGACACTTTTTCAAAACTACTTGTATTCTCAGGGAATCGGTAAAACTAGTAAACAACGATTTTTGAGGATGGAACGCTAAGGCGTCAAACATTGTATTTTTGTCAATATAATGTAATTGATTTAGAAACATGTATACCTATACTATGATGTAAATTTTCAATTATATTTATGTTGGTTGTTTATACTTTGAGCACTATTATACTTGTTGTTATGATACTACACATGAAGTCGTCCACCCCCAGACGTTTCCGCCATCCTTGGTTTTGGGGGTGTGACATATATTCAAAACAAAGCATAAACCACTAAATATAGCCCAACAATCTCACTCTTGGTTTATTGCTTTTTGTCCTCTTCAAGGTTTCTCTACAAGATGAACATCTGCTTGGTCACATGCCCCTGCCCATAACTTCTTGTCTAAAATTGCAGCTACCATTCCAGCGAAAGATTTCGCGGCAGCTTCAAATAGTTCATTCTATACGAAAATCTAAAAGTTTGATAAGGTGTAGATATCATGTTCTCCAAACTTCAAAAAATCTTTGGAATCAACAATATGAAACTGGTTTTTCTTCAGCTTGATCACCACCATTGCAATAGCCTCATCATATACCCAAAATTGTATTGTATCCAAAGTGCCTTCAGGTAAGCGCTTGGGAAGAGGAATCCTTTTAGCTTGATTTATGCGTGGACACATGACATTCACCATTGTTTTGTTTGTTTGTGGATTAATAACACCCTTGGCCTTCTAAGTAAACTATGAAGCAATCTTTAAGTCTTCAAAGTTATTTTTCATTTTAATCTCAAGAAAATTCTTAAAGGACCATGCCATGGTATCATTGGTTGGATTATGAAAGGTGCGTGGATGAGTTCAGAAAGATAAACTTTTGTCCAGGACAAGAAGTCGACTTTCTTCTCATAATATTCAATTCTTCCACTTTTTCGCTTCATGGTCCACATTTTCTTTTCAACATTGTATCCCCACATGATGATGCCAGAACAAGCACCATATTTTTCAGTAAACTTCTTCCCAGTTTCCCCTCAAGAATATTTCAGAGTGATCGCCCGTAACATTTTGATCAGAATTCTTCATCAAGAGCATTTTCCCTTTCAGCTGCTCAACCCTAATTTGCTTTTGTATTCTTTCTTGAGAATAAAGAGGACCATAAGATAAGAATGTATCAAGATTAGCATCTGGAGTAGGTCTTGCAGCTCTATTACTTGAAGATTGTGAAGTTGGAGGTCTTCAAATCCGTGTAATATGAAAAATTCAAGTTCGAATTTCCATATAAACTTCTCCCCCTTTTTATAATCGAATATTGATTATAAAATCTTCAAGGAAAGAGAACGTGCTCTATTTGGAATTTTTCGTGTCAAAAATACCTCTTAACATGTGGCATAAACTTTGTGCTTCAATCTGGAAAACCCAAAAAATATTCAGTTTTTAGCTTCGTTCACAAATGGTCTTTGACAAAATTTCTATAAAAGGGGTAGAAATTGTAAATTTCAAAATTCTACAGTGACCCATTGTGCCAAAAACAACAAAATATGCAAAAATCTCCCCATTTTCCAAAGCTGGGTAAAAAGCATCAATTTGCACAAACTGCAGGGGCCTGAAATGTATTTTCTTCAATTTTCAGCAAAATGAATCCTTTTTCGAATTTGGGTATGACTCATCAAATGTTCGAAACCTTAGGGACTAGTTTTGAAAGTTAAGCCTTTTATTCTCCAAACATAGGAAACATTTGCCAATCATACGAAGGGTTTTAAAATTTGTCAAACAGTCGAAACTATAAGGGCCATATTCGAAACTTTTGTCACATATCTTCATCCTTCGTACAAAAATTTGGAAAGGTGTTAAGCTAACGAAATTTCAGGGGCCATTTATGAAAGATTTGTGTTTCTTCCCGAATTTGTTACACAGGGACGAAGACTTGAACCAGTTAAAGTACGAAGACTTTTTCTCTCTCCCCTTTGTACACAATCAACATTACCCTTCGAATGATTCTTGTTAACCCTTGGAACAAATTCATTCTTTTCCAAACACCCTTTGATCAATAACCATGACCATTACCCTTCGTACATCAACTCCATTCAAACATCAAACCCATCTGTTCTTTTGACCATCAAAACTTTGTATTATAGAACTATCGATATTGAACCAATATATCCAATTGCAAAAGTGATTTCCATCGCTAAGATAATGAAACCGAAAAAAAAAATTGTTCATGCGTGGATTTCAATTAATCATCAAAGCTATTTGATCCCTTCAAATATGTTCATCATCTTGATAATTCGACAACTAATCCTTTGGAATCGGAATAAGCGAACCCCAAAATCAGTCATCACATAAGATCAATTCCTTCATAAAATAAACTTTGTTACTGAACCATACAAACCCATCAACATCATATCTTTGGTTATCAAGAACAAGATCCATCCAACTTCAAAATTAAATCCCAGATTGAACTTGATTTCGAAACACACAACCTCAAAAAATCCTGTATCTATCGATTTCATCAAACGATTCACCAATTCATCACTTGAATTCCAACTTTTTCACAGTTTGACTTTTTAAAATCAATGAACCATAAACATGAAATTGACAATTCTAAGGTCCAATTTCAGATCAAAAGATGTTCCATTAGCTGTTCTTCATCAAATCCATGTTATTCTTGACCATATTCATCGAAATCAAAATACCAATTTCGGATTTCTGCACATTAACTTGATCATAATCAATTTTGTGACTGAACACAACACATAGAATTGATTCACAAGTTTATAATCACAAACAAACTGAAATCGATTAACAAAATCATTTAATAAAAAATAAAACAAAACACAAGAGTTCGTAGATTAAACTGAGAATCAAGATCATTAGTAGATTACAACCCTTATATGCATAGGACGAAAAGAGATGAACAGTGAATCATATGTTTCTACCCGATTTAACGAATTTTTGGGCTCCTTGAATTCAGATATTGGACCGAAAAGACCTATGGGCTCAATTCATGAATAATAACCATTTCAAAATTGGATATGATGAAATATGGGCTTAATAATGGATGAACAACATCAGATTAATTTCATCGGATCTTAAATGTGAGATTGGAATGGGTTTTGAAAAAAAAAATATTATTGGATCATCAATGGGTTTTTTCAAGAAAATTTTGATCCAACGAATCAAACGATCACAAATCCAAAACGCAACGCACGATTTAACAAAATTAAGAGAGATCATAGAGAGAGACTCACCAAAAATTGCTCCAATTGTAACAAATGTTGCCAAACCAAGAATCGTTCTTCAAAAATCACTTTGATCATTGATGACCCGCTCTGATACCAATTGTAGAGGTGTGCTTGAGAGATGTAGTACATAGTGATTAGTGAGTGAGATATTTATAAAGTTCTAGACAAGATCCTTTTTTTGTACTCATTTACTATGATAGAATACATCTTTTAGCACCCAAATCACCATGTTCAATTGTGCAAACTTAATTCCGCATGCGAAACCATGTTCTTATGTCACCACAGCGGGACCTGAACTAGAAGTAGTGATCTTTTCTCCTTCAGCACTCAAGGGTTAAAATTCATCACCAAACTACTAAAATAGACACTATTTCAAATCCAATAATAGAGCAGTTAGACCACCAAGATTCGGTTTCAGCTCTGAGATCTTTGTATATTTATCAGAGTTCTCTTTCTCAAGCTCGTTGATTCGAATATCCTGCTTTCAAATTATCAAATATTTTTCAGCAAAGTTTTATTCTAGGTCAAAGACTATGTTTTGAAGTAGAGCGACATCAACAAATTCAGATTCAGGAAACTTGCTTTTGCCTTTGGAGACGTCCAGCATAGGTGTTTCAAATGAGCTTCCTGAAGCTTGAGCTCCCTCTGAAGGTATGACTTCTTCTTCAACAGTTAGGATTGGAAAATCCTGATCCATATAAATGGGCTCAGTGACCGGGCTTGGTATTTCTTGAATCGTTAGAAAGGAATCAGTGAATGTGCTTTGTATTTTTTAATCCATAGAACTAGGCTCAATCTGTGTAGATATCTTTTGAATTTGGTCCGTGATAAACACTCCCGACCTTGGATCTTTTCTATTTTGCTTCCTTGGGAGTAAAGTGTAGGCTGAGTCATCTGGATCACTTTTAGATGGAGGTTCAATAGCGACAGGAACTATTTGGGGAAGCTTCTTTGCAGTTCACTGAAGTTCTGCTATGAGAGCATCCATCTGTTCAGGTGTCAGAATGGAAGACTGTACTGTTGTGTCACATTCCCTTTCAGTCACAACCAGTGGTCTAATAACTGCATCCTTCTTTGGCTTTGAGATACTTTGCTGAATAAAGTCTTCAAAATCATTTTCTGTCAATTCTTTTCTTGATCCTCTTGATCTTCTTCATCATCAAACAATTCAATCTCTTCAAAGGCAAATTGAAACTTTGGTTTGGGTGCCACGTGTTCATTGGCAACCTCAACATTTATTGAACTAACTCCTTTAATTCTTGATAAGAAACTTTGGTAGACTTTCTTGATTGCTTCACGAGTCTAAAAGAGTTGGGACCCAAGGCTTTAAAATCCAATGTATCAAGCGTCCTTTCAAGTTGGGGATATTTTTCATTAAAAGTCATTTGAAGGAACCTGTGGTACATCAAAAATAGGCCCTTTTTCTTTCCCTAGAGGTTGATCTTCATTTCTTCGAAGACAAACTTTTGGTACCCATTTGTAGTTAGGTTTAACCATTTTCTTGTTAAATCGGATGGATGCTTCAACACTTGTTTTGGAGCTTAAGACCGATCGCCGAGATGACTGCGACCTTACCAATCTTGGTTTGACTGAACCATTTCTCAAATCAGATCTCTTGTTAGACAGGATCTTTTTGTTCTTGAGAGTCTGATTTTTGGTATTGGCAGTATTCCAGTTACTATCACATGATCTCGAGGAGTTTCTCTTGAAAGATCTTCATCGCAATACGTTCTGCCTAACTTGGGCATAATAGGGAACATATGCACGATTTGGACAATTTCTGGCAATATGACCAGGAATTCCACAGTTAAAGTAGATTTGTCTCTTAAAAGGAATACATTTAGAACTAGGCCCTTGTCCAACTGAATTTCCACAAGTACAAGCACATTTAACAAACTGTTTCACAACTTTATGTGGCTTAACATTGTTAGTAGCGTTATCACAAGCTTGTGAAGCAACAGAAGACAAATTGCTAGTTTTTGAAGAGTTCTCATTAAAACTACAATTACCTTTGTTTTTCTTGCACCCGTCTTACACTGTTACTTTCTCTGCATATGAAGTAGAAACATTAGTATCATTTACCTCAATATTCTCAGTGTTTTCAGATTATTCACTCTTAATTGAAACAGTTACAATAGGCTGACCATGTTGAACAAATTTTCTTGTCTCTATGGTTTCAGAAGCCGAAGGATAGTTATCATTGAAAGGAGGTGGTACACTGTGATACCCCAGAGCCTCTTTCTGGTTATCCTTCCACTTTAACTATTTTTCAATCATAGACTCAACTATCTCACTTGACACATCAAATTTCTTTAATTAAATTAAGCATCTTTAAATTTAGCTTTTAACACATCATGTTCGGCAGTTAAGTTTGCAATTTTCTCTTTGTCAAAACGACAGTGAACACATTTGGTGCTATATTATTCTTTAATCCTACTTAAGTCTTTAGTTTGTGCTTCTAGTATTTCTCTAAGTGGTTTTTTAACTTTCTTAATCTCATAAATTTCATTTTTAAGGTCAAAAACCTCTTTAACTAGTAATTAATTTTGTTCACGGTATTTATTTATTGTATCTTCACAGGACTAAGAGCATGAGGTTTCACTGATCTCCTTGGTGATTAAACTATTGTAAGAGCTCATTATTTACCAATGGTAAAATTTTGATTGTGCAATTCGATTTTGACCGAAAACCAAGATAAAAGCCCTTTGACAGAAAACCTTGAAAGTCAACCAGTTTTACCGAGATATCTAAAAGTCACTTGTTTGACCGAAAATAGTTGACCAAGAATGATATATGTTAGCCGAGAACTCTTCCAATTCGCTAACCTAATATCTTGTTACCAAGAACGTTATTCAGCGGCCGGGCACACTAAAACCTAACCAAATTCAAGGTTTTGATCATGTTTCCTTATCCAATGAATCTTAAATTTGGTAATTTACCAAAAATGATGTCTAACGCAATATCCTCCAAAATTAGTGAAGAACACTAAGAAAAAATAATGAACACAATGAACATCAACATGATGAACAGCAAAATCATTTTTCCAAAAACAACCAAAAACACCAAAAAAAATTATTGTTTCGGAAGCGATTGATACAAAAACGGCCTTAAGTTGGTTTTAAGGCTCTGATACCACTTTTAAGTCTCTAAACTCAGATATACAAAGTATCAATGCAATCATTTGATTTAATGCGGAATCTTAATCAAACAATGATACAAGACAATCAATTAGATATATCAAGAACACGTTTCGATAATATGAATGCACAGAATTCTATTGAATAATTGTCAAGTACACTCAATGACACTTCATCTGTGAATCTCTAGTATTCATCAAAAATGCATTGCCCTTGAACGGCTATACACCGACCATATATATACTAAACCGATAACCTAAATCCCATACAAAATAAGCCCACTGAAATCACTAGGTGATTTCGGTCTAAAACCGAGAACAACATAATATATTCAAAACACAACATAAACCACTAAATATATCCTAAAAATTATAAAAATGTATGTCATGATTGGTCACTAGTAGTATATTTATTGGTATTTTTTTTGTCTTAGTATCATGTTCAATTCATAACAGGTTAGCAGGAAATGGAAGAAGAGAAAGAGGGGAGAGGTTGAAATTGTGAATTAATAGAGTCAACAATCAAGCTAAAGGAGAAAGCTTTCAATGAAATTGTTGAGATAAAAACTTGAGAAACACACTTGAACAAACGTTAGAACAAATTATAATGCGGAATAATTTTAACTCAAAGGTTCATAAAGCTCAATAATAATAATAATAAGTTAGAGTTAGAGAGTTAGATAATTAAATGCAGAAATATAAGGAAATATAAATGACAACAAGTATTATATCAAGTAAACACTTACGCTGATTCGTAACAAGGATTGCAATTAAGCCAAGTTAGTAAGTGTGATCAGCTTAACGTGATTAAGTCAAGAATGACTTGCTCTGAGGAGAGATTATGATATTAAGAGATTCTAGTTCAACAAAATCTTAAGAGTAAGAAGGTAATGAGAGATAAGATATAAGATGAAAGAGAGATGTGTATTGCAAATTGAAGTGGGAGGCTTTATTTATAGAGCTTCATAGACATTACAAGAAAATAAATAAAGACAAAGAAGTGTCCATGCTAGGTACATTGGACAATGCAAGGTAAAGACATAAGTTAAAAGAAAACACTAAGACTTTGTTGAGCTTTAACAAAGTCTTTCTAGTCGCGGAGGACAATACAAGGTAAAGACATACTTCTTGCTTTAACAATTTCCCCTAAGTGACCTCTTTAACCTTTTCACTTGTTGAGCTTCAAAAACTTTATTAGCAACCACCAAAATTTTCTAACTTCTCCCAGCCATTTGATCCTTTGAGTGATCTCGAACTTGACTTTGTTTGTTGAGTGCTTGGATCTCTACACAGAATTCAGAGTGACTTCGAGTTACCTTCGGGTCAGGCGGTGCACGGAAGTGATGGGAACAATACACTTGACATCACTATTTACTCTTTTGAACACAAATCCCAGTTCTGGGAAGTTGGTTGCACCATGGAATGTTCTTGATAACCTTTAGTATAGTCTGGTGTGGGATCAAGGGGAGGAAGGTTGAACTTCTGAGCTAGTGTTGGATGAATGTCAACATCTATTTTAGCAAAATCGCATACTGCACACTGCAGGTAATTGCAAGCTTTCTCATAAGCTATCTTCATTTTGGAGTGTTTCTCGGATTTGAGTTTGAACACCCTTGCGATCAAGAAAACCTCTTCTGAATTCATACATGGAGAGTCAACTTGAGTTCAGATGTAATCACAACCTCTTCTTGCTAACGTGTATTGGATGAACTCAGGTTTCATGAATTTGTAGAGCTTGTAGTTCTTGACTCCAGAAGGCCTATCACTTGACCATATATCCTCGAATTTGGATCCATGATTTCCATGGAACTTGTTGAGACGTTCAAACTCTAGAGGCAACCTTTGATCATTAGAGACGCTTAGGTCAAATGGGTCAAAAACTGTGAAAAACATGGCATTGGGAAAATGGAACGTCCTAGTAACCATCTTCCAGAGGCTCAGCATATGTCAGCATTGGCCTGTAGTCATCATCTTGGAGCCTGTGGGTTGGATTGACCCATGAGTTGATAAGAGTTTCATCCATGGTAGTGTCGAACCCATGGTCTCTCCATATTTGCTCTGCGAACTTGGCTGCCTTCCAGTCAATCTTTCTTTGTTTTGTTGCGGGGGAAGTCATATGAGTGTTTTGATGACATGGTTGGTGCCAAGTTTTTGAATTGAGGTGGGTTTTTTTTGGCAAGGAGGAGATTCATGTCGCTCAATTTGAATTTGTAGAGGAGATTGTGGAGGAGAAGACATCAGAGTGGAAGGTTTATCTTGACCCGTAGATAAAATTGGAGATTGATGAGCTTCTTGGGTTGTAGTTGGTCGTTCTGGGGTGAAGTGAGATGGACCGAAATCTTGAATTACCCAAGATTAATGGAGCTACGGATTAGAGTGCTCACCTCCCCCTTTTAAGGAACTAACCTGTTGTTCCTCAAACTATTGATGAAGTCCATCAATCTTTGTGAAAACATTGTTAAATTGAGACTTAAGAAGATCAAAAAGTTTCTAATTGTTAGGGATCTGCATCTGGAACAGCAATTGATGGATGTCTTTTGTGAGATTGAGGATCTCCTGACCATGAAAGCTTGTGGTTAGGGAGCATCGGAGAGGGTTGATCGTTGACTGAAGCACATAGATGGTGGATTCGTAAGCGTTGTGAGTTTCATCAACAAGCTTCTTGGAATGAATAACTTGATCAACAATCGAAGATTGAAGTTTGGTTTTGATTGCGGTGGCCTCTTGGATAAGTCTTTTAGTAGTAGCTATGAACTCTTTGTGGTTTGATGTTCTGTTGTTGTCGAGGGCATGGATACCCATTTCAACTTTGAGCGATACCCGTTCAACAACCAGGCATTCCCTTGTCTCTAATCTTTCAACCGGTTCCGCAATTGAATGTGGCCCAACAACATCGGTTTGTTGCGATATGGTCATTGTGGCCAATATCATGTCAACTTTCTCCTGGAGACTTAGAAACTCTTTTCGCGTGACAACAAGTTTTGTCGTCTTCTTCTTCTCCTTTGGTTTGGAAGTTGAGTGCTGAGAACTGCTTGAATCTTCTTCATCAAACACCATAATGAAGTCATATGAACCCGTTGGTTGATTGACTTCAGTCATATCTAGATCATCTAGACCAAAAGTTGGTCCGGAGCTGACATCCATTGATATAACATCTTTGTTGGATGCATGAATTTTGGCTGTTGGAGTAGGCTTTGAAGGATGTGCACCACTTTGAAGAGCTTGTGATTTCTGGATGGTTTTGGCCAT